CTTTAGAGGATTTTATAGCGAAACTTTGCACATTGGTGTACATAACGAAGTGACATTTTTGTATGAAATCAACCTTGGAGAGATTATCTTTTGTGAAATATTTTAACAATCACCGATTATACCTATATCTCCACATTCCTTGAGAAAAGGTGTATGTAACATAACTACAAAGTCTCCAATAGTAATAATAGTAATAATAGTAATAACAATAGTAATACAATAGAAAAAAACATTATTAAGAAGATGCATCTTTTCTCCATTCGCCGCAGTTAATTAAGACGTTCTAGATCTAAGAGATAAGGGAAAAGAAAAAAGAAAAAATAAATTGATATACCGAATTTGGTAATGACTAAGTAACAACCACCCAACCAATATTTATAGAGGATAACTTCTTTTAGAACCGCACCTTGTACGTTATTTTTGACAACGCCAGATATAGATCTAAGAAGAGCCTTGAGCCTTGAGCCTTGAGCCTTGAGTCATATGCTGAAATGGTAAGTGAATGTTCTGGGAGACCAGGAATATCTTTTATATCTCATTCGTTTAGTTTCATCTCCTGTGTCAGTTGGATATTTGCCCAGCTCCCGCAAATTTTGAACAACTACCAAACAAAGTCAACAGAGGGTATATCTCCACTGTTTTTACTACTCTGGTTCTTGGGGGACTTTTTGAGCTTCACAAGTTGCTTGTTGAATGATGCTACACTAGGCTTTCAATTATATTTGAGCATCTTTTTCTTATGCAATGACGTCACCTTGTGCTTTCAGTACTACTATTACAGTAATGCTTATCCAAAAATAAACCCTTCCCCTCCAAGATACTCTTTGATAGAGCCGTTACTGCCCGAAACTGTGGTGTCTAAGGCAGACTTGTCCATGCACTCTGAAGGATGCAATATTCGACACACAAATGTTCCACAACAACAACAGCAACAACACACATCTGACGAAAGCACGCCAAGTAGTTACAACTCCATAGATGAAAACAGAAATATGCTTAAAAATCTAGCGGGAGTAATTGCGATTAATGCAGGTAATGTGCGCGCATCTGGCTTAAAAATGGAGGAGCTGATATCGACGTTTGGTACAACCAAAGACACCTTGGGACTTGTCTTAGCATGGGGGTGCACTCTTGTATACTGCAGTTCAAGGTGTCCTCAGTTGTACAAGAACTACAAACGGAAATCCGTCGAGGGGATATCTCCTCTATTGTTTGGCTCTGCATTAGTGGGGAATTTGACATATACACTTTCAATTTTGACCAGTTGTTCGTTTGTGGTAGGTCACCAACGGGCCCAACTTATGTACCAAGAATTACCGTATATATTGGGCAGTTCAGGTACAATAATATTTGATCTTGTTTATTTTTACCAAAAACGATTATACAAAGATAAACGAACTCAAACCACGGTGATGAGGCTACAACGCTGGAGCGAAATAGAGCACGTTAATGTATGAAACTATAGACTAGGACTTTATTTGTTTTCCCCTATCCAATTTCTTATAGAGTTGTAATCAAGATAAGTTTTATATTTTGTATCTCCTCTACAGACACAAATATATAGACGGATAAACTTAAAAATCTCTCAACAGAGTTATCCTAGAAATTTGTCATTTATTGGTCCCCCCCCCTTTACAAAATCCGTTCAAGCTAAGCTAGCTTTGTCTTGTTCGACAAGTATTGATAATCATTCCGCTGCTCCAGTCGAAATTGCAAATTGGGCAGCGCAAAATTGGGGAAAAAAAAAAAATTAAAAAAAAATGAATCAAGTTCTATGGGAAAATGAGGTAACTTAAAGATGCTACGATATGCCCTTCTACAGAAGCCTCTACATGTTGCTAGTTTATGTCAAGTGAGGCGAGGGAGCACCCTATCCGTTGTAGGCTCTTTTTTAAAGGAAAATACAGGAGAAAACGCACATACCATCAGCACGACCGTATCTAGCACTTCAATACGATATAATCTGTTCCACCCCCAACAGCAGCAACTGCCCCTACGGCAACCAGAGATTGAGCCTAGTGAAGCCCCGGACTGTATACTAGAAGAACGGATACGCTCCGTGAACTTAATTGATAAAACAGATCACCAGATCGTACCCACTTTGGCTACGGCTACTGCATTGCCCCATCCACTTTCCGCTTTAAGTCGAGATGGAATTCTTAAATTGAGCAAAGAGGAACTAGCGCGTTTGAGTGCCATACCATGCGAATTATCCAATGATGAGGAAGAAACAATAAGCAAGAAGTTTGTCAGCATTTTTACAGATCTTGTCGAATCTGATACTCGATCGGTGAGCATGATCTATTCCTCATTATCTAATAGCAAATTGAAGGAGACAATTACCAAAGAAGCGTTGGAAGCGTTGGAAAATAACGGCATTGCCTCGTCGATAATAAGATTTATTTTGAATCCTGTGAACAAGTACACCAGAGACTTGTTTGTGAGGAATCTTAACTCGATTATAAAGACGCAAGATATGGATATTGAAGATAAACGTCGTATCCTTCTGTCATATTTATACAACATATCCAAAACAGCAATGATCAACTCTCGTCCTATTGTTCTAAATGACGAAATTTTCCGGCAATTACTAGAAATTATAGGAGCCGCAGATTTGTTTGCATACCTAGTTCATATCAACATGCGCCCGCTGACATATCTGCTTGTGAAGGAACTACGTGCTAAGCTATTGCATGGTAACGCAAAAACTAAATTCATAGCACAGACGGGATTTTTGAAGCCTCTGCAATACGATTTAAATCGGTCAACATTCACTACAACGCACACTACAAGAGTGGTTGAGTTTTTCACATTGGACGAATTTAGTAATATAACTGTAAGTTTAGCGCATAAAAACGAGCCTGCTCTTACTATGTGGTCTTTGAACTGTATGCTTACGAAGTTTCCAAAAGAGTGCGAGGCGTTATCGGTAAGGTCCAACTACCGACTTATGCGGCGTAATCTTTTCCAGATGCTCAATACAGTTTGCCAAGTGGTTTTGCGGTTTAAAAATGTGCATAGCGGTCTTCAAGTGTTAAAGTACATGAAGAAACAAAATTTTGATATCAAGTTTGGTACATACAGGACCCTTTTGGCCCAGCTTCGAAAATCGAGAATGTTTGATGAGTTCGCAACGGTATTTAATGGGATGGACTTGAAAAATCTTTCTTGTGAGAGAAAAGTGCTGATTGCGAGTGAAATCATGCTTTTGATTGAATCTAAGTACCCCACATCTCCCAAGGTATTGATTGGATATGTGGGAGCTCTTTACTCTGGCAAAGACGACAAAACAAACAGTTTGAACATTTTGAACGATTTGAAAATATTGAGTTTACCATATAGTCATGTCCCCTTGAACAGAATCTCGTCAGTCGGTATGGTTCAATTGGCCAATGTGGATGACAATTTGAAAGGCTTGGATTTAGACTGCTCGTGTTTGGCATTGGTTTACGATGTTTTATTTCGTTCAATGGGGGAAGCAACAGATCTTGGTTCTTCAATTATAATGGAATATTACGAAATATTTGAGAATTACTTACAAAACTCGTATATCCATGGATTCAATGACCGACCGGTTACAATTTTTTTCAACCATTTACTTCGCAAGGAGAACAGTACTCCTCTATCTCGCGCACTGCTGAATGCTTATGAATACGCGAAAAGGATATTTGAATTCTATGACAAGTTCAGGGTTTCGGGGGAATTGATTACAATTGATAATTTGGAGTTGCTTATCCGCTCTGCGTTGCTCCATCACGATGATTATGAGTTTGCTACTAGAGTGTTTGAATTTCGAAAACAAAAGAATCTACCGTCTACGTTCCGGCAAGTTTTCCCATTTGTTAAAAAACATTACCTAGATTCGAACTACCCCGAGGCCAAGAAGTGGTTTACATATTTAACGAACCAAGGTATCAAACCTAGCTGGAATGAGATGGACGATTTAAAGCAAATAAGTAAAGATCTTAAGTTAGACTTTAATGGGTCCAAATTCAAATCTAGTTATTCAAAGAAACGAATAAGTGACAGAAATGCTTTACAGAGATTAAGAGTAAATTCTATACCTTTTACAGAAGACACCGAGACATTATAGAGCAGGGCGATACTATCGAGCAGCACTTACTAGCTTGTTACAACACAACAATAATAATTTTTTACAGCAATTTACCAATATGTTTAATACACTGGAAGCTTCGATATCCCCAGTTGGGTCATCTCTTTCACCTTCTCTCTACAACAAGGATCCTAGATCTTAGATCCTTTTCGCTAGTTGGTGACAGTTAGTCAATGTGCTCCACTATTGAGCAACACTCAATAGCTTGTTACAACTCAGTAGTTATATACAACTCAGTAGTTATATACAACACTATCTCGCTCTGCTCAATAGTGTTGCTCGATAGTGTTGCTTGATAGTGTTCCTCGTGTCGCTAGTGTCGTCCCATAGTATCGTAGTGTCTACCTCATCGCACAAATACACTTGGTAGCGAGTATCTTTTTATTCCTTTGTTCTTTTGTTATTATTTCGCACTCTTTTGGGAAAAATGTAAATAATAAAGATAATCCGGAATCAATGCCGAAACAAGAACCCCCCTAATTGTACGTTTCTTTAACAAGTAAAGTTGCAACTTGTACGTGGGGAAGGTTGGTTAAAATTAAAAAAAGAATACTAGGTTGTAAGGAGCAAAAAGTTGGGCATGAGCTTTACCAAGGGTCTGGCGTCAAGCTCACTTTCTGAGAAGCAATGTCGCCGTATTAATACATTCGATGAGGAAATTATGAATAACAGTACACCCAAAAACCATATAGATTGCGATAAATATATTTACAAGATAGCCCATCAGCACCAATGTGATTCGGAACTGACGCCGAGCCTACGGTTTAACTTAGCGCACGATAGCTTGCAGCTACTGCTGTCCATCGATGAGTTTTCAACTCGACTAGAGGGCGGTGACGATAATGAGATTAAGGACCATCTAGGATCAATTGAGGTCAACGTGAACGAGGCATTAACAGAGCTAAGCTCGACATATAAATTGATAGGATACACTCCTCACCAGATAGCTGCAAAAAAGGCGGAAATCTTCACTTTGATTCAAGACACGATTACATATTTTGCAGGTAACTTGCAACGAGAAAGAACCAATATAGAGAACGAATGCGAATGGTTACGACAGCAGATTCAAATCATACTAGCTATGATTAACGACGTTAGGGGGGACAAATTGTTGACTTTGCGACAAAAAGGGTTGGCTTTTGATAACGAGCAGCAGTATACTGATGGCTACAAGGAAGAAGTCCTATCCAAGATGTCTAGTCCCAATTTTATATTAGAAAACGAAGGAGATGCACTACTATTGGAACTGCAGTACGAGTCCATAACCAGAAGTATACCCGAATTGACATTAATTGAAAAAAGATACCAGTTAAATAACATCTTTTTCAATGTTTTAAAAGTATTTGTTTGCAAGTTTCAAAAGTTCAATTTGTTAAATTTGAAATATGCTACATTGATAAATATCCTTGGGAAAGCTAATAACAATAGCAATAATAACAATAATAACAACAATAGCAATGATTGCTCGTTCCTCCCAGCAATAGAAGAAGCAGAAATACATCGTCAAGTAATTACCGAATTTGAGCAACTAGTAAAAATGGCGGATCCAATGAAAACTGCGGAATTGCAGCATGCAAGTCAATTCAGTTTGGCAAGTCCCACCAAAGAAAAAAAGAAGAAGAAGCAAAACTCTGATTATAATAAACTCGAGGAAGAAGCTAACGAAAGTGGATTGGATAGGTTGCGGGAATTAAACTACCAACTAGTGAGGATTATTCGGGGTTTAAAAATCACAAAAATTAACACAGATTTGATTCAGATTATTGAAAATACCATCGAAGTTTTGGAACAGGAGTTTGAAGAGCGGAAACGCTGCATGAGGCAAACAGCTCTGAAATGCCTTCAATACATAGAATTTTTACAATTCAAAGATGAACAACTTAGTGATTTGCAAAATCCACAATCCGGAATGCAACTAGACTCGATGATTCTACATTCCATCACTGAAAACCCGCAGAATTTTGGAATGCTTCCCCAACATGTTGACCACTTGAATAAAGTCCATTTGGCTCTAAAACAAAAAATAGATCAGAAAAAAGAACAGTGGAGCCAATATTCTGAAAAATGTAAACAATTGTGGCTAAGGCTTGGTGAGAGTAATGAATACATGGAAGAATTTATGACTAGAAATGATAACTTATCAGATCTTGCGATATTGAATTTCAAAATGGAATTGAACAGGCTTTTTATAAAGCGTTCCGAACACATCGAAAGGTTTATTTCCGAAACAAGAGCCGAAATCGAGCAGGCTTGGGACAAATTGTTTTACTCGCAAGAAATGAGAATGGAATTCAGATATTACAACAATGATGCTGAACTAGGTGTCAGCGATAAAGATGTAATCTTGAATGCCCATGAAGAGGAGTTACACATGTTGAATAAAGAGTATGCAGATAAAGCTAAAATATTTAAGCTTTATGACGAGTTGTTGGATTTGTTGAAAGACCAGAAATTTTTACAGGAAAGCTCAAAAGATTCGTCGCGATTGTTGAGTAAAAACTCATGTAAGATTTTGCTCAATGAAGAGAGGTTGAGAAAAAGGATCAATAAAAGCATGCCAAATATTCTAGCCTCCTTGAAAGATGAGGTGACAGCATACAATCGAACAGCATCGCTGGAAGGCAAACGACCCGTCCTATTTAATGGTAAAAGCTTTTTAGAGGAAATTAAACGGATTGAAACAGAACAAATGAATTCGGGTATGAAATTCAGACCAAAAACATCTGGATCCCCAACAAAATTAGGTGCTGGTGCTGCTTCAAGAGTACAACCCGAAGGAACAATTGCACTGAATTTCCTAAAAACAACATCCAATGGTAGAGCAAAAATCAACAAATCGCCAACAACTTCAAGGCCCTCATCACTGAATAGAACATTACCTACTACTATGCGTAATAGTAGCGCGCACTTCAATACCTTTACCATCAACTCATCTTCCGCCAGTTTGTTTAGTCCTATGCGTGCCTCGAGAAACAATTCTCAAACAGGCATGACCATATTCAATGAGTTACAACCATTGCGTTCTCCTTTGAAACCAAGGACAAACCTAAACTCTACATCTCCAACTAACAAAAACAGTCAATCCAAAAAAGCACAAGAACAACAAGCAGAGCCTTTTAGGTTTGCTCCGATTCCAATCCAAACTAGCTTTTTGGATCAAAATCATCTAGAAAGAGTGGACAATGTATCCAATAATGACACATCCACGCTAATCGGAGATGATTATGTCAATTGGAGAGATGAGAAAATCAGGCAACTTAACGAAATGTAACGACTACCGATCCTCGTAGTTCATTTTCTATTACGTAATTAATGTACAAATCGCTAGGGTTTTACTTTAAGCAAAGAAAAACACATGGATCTGATTAAATTTATCCTAGTGATAAACCACTGGCACTTGGATCTTTCGTTTATTTTTTTTCTCCCCCCCCCTCTTACTTGTTCTAACAGTGGAGTTTACGAAACCTGTACAACCCCTGGTCTTATCCTAGGAGTCATCTTGATCGTCATCATCATCGTCATCGTCATCTTCCTCGTCATCCTCCTCCTCCTCCTCGTCGTCGTCGTCATCATCATCATCATCATGCACCGCGCTTCGCTCCTTATCTGAGTTCTGCTTGATATCATTGTCGTCGTCGATATCACCCTCCTCTTCTTCATCATCCTCTTCAACATCAGGATATCCTCCTAATTTCAAAACAATCTTGTTTACAACTTCATTCCAATCCATCATACCTCCCATACCTATGTCACCATAACTGCCAAATACTTTCTCCAGTGGCTTTAAAACTTCGATCCACGGCATTTCTTCAGCTATGAGTCTCAATTGTCTCTTTGTAGTAATTGCATTGTATGAATAACTCCCCATTGCTGGAGCAAGCAAAATTGGATACGAAGTATTCCATGCTCGTATTACATTTGTCAATAAGTTATCACACAATCCTAAAGATATTTTGGATAAGGTGTTTGCGGTTAAGGGACAAATGACAAGTATATCAGCCCATCTGCGTAATTCTATGTGTAAAACAGGATCCAGCCTTGTTTTCCACGTTGTCCATTCATCTGAATCTTTCCAGATCCTAATCCCTTTATTTTCCAAGATGTTCAAGCTTTCTTGTAAAAGAAAATTCTCGCTTGATTTAGTCATTATCAACTGAATTGCAACCTTTTCTGGTGTATATATCTCAAAAATCTTGCCTATTATCAGCTTGATTTTGCCAGCTGAAAGTGCTCCACAAATACCAAATAATATGTGGATTTTACCATCGTCTTGTGGAAGTCGTGGGTCAATATTGGAATTCTGCTCTGGGCTAGGTTTCGAATTTGAATTTAAATTCGAATTCAAAGCTTGCTGCAGTTTAGTTGGATCGGCTGACAATGAAAATGACGCGCCGGTTTGGTTTTCCTTATTGAAGCTTTCCTGGCTTTTGCTTCCATCTCTGGAAAATGAAAGAAAGAGCGGGTTGTTAGATGCCGAGCCGCTTCTTGATCTGTTGCCCATTTTATTTCGTCTCAACTCTTCGTCCACATCGAAATGAGCATGAACCGATGGCGATTTGTGATGCAGAAACTCGGTAGGCGAATTCGAAATGTTCTTGTCCGACTCATTCTTCGTGTTAAGCAGCTTGTCAAATGAGCTGATTGTTGGTATCACTGAGTCAGAATGAATCTTTTCGGCGCCCTTGAAATGAGAAATTCCGGGAACAATGACAGTTGCCCTTTTATTGTCAAATTGTGATTGCTCTAGTGATTGTAATTGCTCTAGTGAATTGCTTGCAGGAGCAGGAGACGCTGGCAACAGCAGGGTTGATGCGTTTGTTGTCACTCTCTGTGGGTTGCCAATAGGAGGTGTGATGTTCCTCGTCAAGATCGAGGGTGGCATTGTCGTTGCATCTGACTTGGTTTGCAACTGCAACTTCTTTTCCAATTTATCAGATGGCATTACTGAAAAGGAAAGGAAAGGAAAAAAAAAAAAAAAAAAGACAAAAAAAAAACAAAAACTAAGGAATGGAATGGAATGTGATGAATGAATGAGTTGTATAAGCCCTACTAGGTCGGAAAGACAAAGCCCCTCGAGCCAAAAATATGGTTTGGAAAACTTTTCCCGTGAAAATATACTCCCAAGGTTCGAAGATGGTTGTTGAAAAAACTGTTCTTAGTCCTTGCTCGTGATGTAATATGATTTTATTATATGATTTCAAACTAACTGGAAATTAATCAAAGCTTAAAAGAGAAAAAAAAAAAAAAAAAAAAAAAAAAAATTATAAGTGAAATGAAAAGTACGAAGAAAATTTTTTTTTAAGGCTACAAGGAAAAGAGAGGAAAAAATTTTTTGTTGATTGTGTATGACATCACGACACTATCGACACTATCGAGCGAAGCGAGATAGTGGAGCAGTACTGACTTCGTCAGCCTCACCATCGCGACACTATCGAGCAGAGCGAAATAGTGTTAGTCAGTGCTGTTCGATAGTGTTTTGTAGCTAAGATATTTGTAACTAAGATATTTGTAACTAAGATATTTGTAGCTAAGGTATTTTGTAGCTAAGATATTTGTAGTTAAGGTATTTGCAGCTAAGATATTTGCAGCTAAGGTATTTGTAGCTAAGATATTTGTAGTTAAGGTATTTGCAGCTAAGATATTTGCAGCTAAGGTATTTGTAGCTAAGGTATTCGTAACTAAGGTATTCGTAGCTAAGGTATTTGTAGCTAAGGTATTTTTTGTATTATTTTGATTGTGCTGAAACCTGAATATTACTTGAACCCAGAGATAATTTTTTATGTAATTGTTTTGCACGCTCGTAGAAATTCTATCGACACTATCGACACTATCGACACTATCGAGCGAAGCGACATAGTGGAGCAGTACTGACTACTCTGATACTATCGACACTATCGAGCGAAGCGACATAGTGGAGCAGTACTGACTACTCTGATACTATCGACACTATCGAGCGAAGCGACATAGTGGAGCAGTACTGACTACTCTGATACTATCGACACTATCGAGCGAAGCGACATAGTGGAGCAGTACTGACTACTCTGATACTATCGACACTATCGAGCGAAGCGACATAGTGGAGCAGTACTGACTACTCTGATACTATCGACACTATCTCACTCTGCTCGATAGCATCACTCTGCTCGATAGTGGAGCAGTACTGACTACACCGACACTATCAACACTATCTCGCTCGCTCGATAGTATCGCTCTGCTCGATAGTGTCGCTCGATAGTGGAGCAACACTATGTAGATTGTTACAACACTATCTCGCTTTGGTCGATAGTGTCGCATTTTGAGGATGAAAATATCGAAAGGCTAAGCCGGCATTGATTATGCCGTCTGTGCCGCCTAATAGTGGATAGTAGAGTAGAGTGGAACACTATCTCGTTCTGCTCAATAGTAAATAGTGAGTAGTGGGTAGTAGAATAGAGTGCAACACTATCTCGCTTTGCTCGATAGTGAGTAGTGGGTAGTATAATAGAATGCAACACTATCTCGCTTTGCTCGATAGTGAGTAGTGGGTAGTAGAATAGAGTGCAACACTATCTCGCTTTGCTCGATAGTGAGTAGTGGATAGTATAATAGAATGCAACACTATCTCGCTTTGCTCAATAGTGTCCCAATCAAAAGAGACAGGTTTCTAAAAAGGTTCCAGCTCCAGAGCAGTCAGTGCTGCTCCACTATTTCGCTTCGCTCGATAGTTTGAAACTTGTTGCTACACCAAACCTCCTTGGCCTTGTAGGTGTTGGGGATAATGACACACGGGTTGGGTTAGATTCAACATAGTGTCGTCGAATTGACGGTTTCCAAAAGGCTTGATTCTCTGTAAAGTATACTAGGGAGCGAAGCGAGCTAGTGGACCAATATGTAGAGAGTAGCTCGCTTCGCTAGTGCAGCGGTATGTAATGGGAGCTCGCTTCGCTAGTGGAGCAGTATGTAGAGAGTAGAAACTAGTAAAAAGATTATTACAATATTACCGTCGACTCTCGCCACAAGCTCAACACTCCCCTGGCTCGCCACAAGCTCAACACTCCCCTGGCTCGCCACAAGCTCAACACTCCCCTGGCTCGCCACAAGCTCAACACTCCCCTGGTTCGCCACAAGCTCAACACTCCCCTGGTTCGCCACAAGCTCAACACTCCCCTGGTTCGCCACAAGCTCAACTCTTCTCCCCTGACACCTCCCTGGCCCCACCTCTCTACTCTCTACATACCGCTCCACTAGCTCGCTTCGCTCCCTAGTGTCGCTACTTTCCCTAGTGTCGCTACTCTCCCTAGTGTCAAACAATTCAACAAGTTTTTCTGATGATTCCCTATCCCTTGTTGTCACTATAGCGAATCCTCTACTTTCGCAAAAAGCCGTTGCTGACCCAAATTATATCGATACATTGGGGAAACATCATTTATGGGAATTTGCTGGATGGGAATTTCCACTTTCAATAGAGACTATCGAGCGAAGCGAGATAATGGAGCAACACTAGCTGGCACCGACACTATCGAGCGACACTATCGAGTAGAGCGAGATAGTGGACCAGCAATCAAACCCGTGTGTTGCTTGGTTCGATATCTTTAGCTTTTTCAACAAAAAATCTCTTTAATGAAATCCAATTGGACGGATATGGCACATTTCCAACAAATAACCATGTTGATCCAATTTGCAGCATTTTATCTGACTCTGAGTTAAAATCTAGGTCCTCATCTTTGCATGGATCCTCTGTTAAGACAACTTTCTTCTCAAATTTGGTGCTGATACTATTTGCTTCTTCTTTTTCTTCCACCCCTTTTTCCACCCCTTTTTCCACCCCTTCTTCTTTTTGTTTCGCAAGCCTCGAATTTTCACGACTATGTACCATGTTTATGACAAATGGCGGTACAGGTCGTCTAGACGAAAACAGGTCATGCGCTAGACCTTCTATGGCTTGATTGTATTGAAATAACTGAACCTGAATCTATATGACTACTTTTTTCAAAAGCGGCTGGTGCTCTTCTCGAATATATGGATGCAATTCTTGTATTGTCTTCTTCGAATGAGGAGAATGAGGAGGAGGAGAATGAGGAGGAGGAGAATGAGGAGGAGGAGAATGAGGAGGAGGAGGAGGAGAATGAGGAGCTCCCTGTAATTTATGGATGGAAGTACAGATGTGGTGCGAACGGCCTATGATATTCAAACGTTGACACCTCACCGCGGTGAGATGGTTGGGGGCACCATGTCTGATGATTGTAAATCATTATCAACATTCAAATTTTTACTCTTGTATCCAAAACAATTCTCCCGTTCTTTTAAGTTCTCTGCCCTCGTTATTGCAGTCATTGTACGCTTTTGATAGCTATTTTCTCCAAGATAATGAGGTAGTGGTGGACTCAGCTGAGTATCCGCCAGTTGAAACCTAGCATAAGGCTTTTTTAGTTTGACTTTTGAACTTTTAGGTGACAAAGAGCTTGTGTGTTTGTTTAAGATACTCGAACTCAAAGGTTGCAAGTCACATAATTGTATAGCGGTGTCATCACATAATTGTATAGCGGTGTCATTACATAATTGTATAGCGGTGTCATCACATAATTGTATAGCGGTGTCATCACATATTTGTATAGCGGTATCATCATCTAATTTTGTAGCTGCGTCATTATCATCATTATCATTTATTATGATCCATATTATACCCCCTTATTTTCAATGCCTCTCCAAACAAACAGCAAGATGAAAATGAAAAACAATCCTTGAGAGGGATTGCAAAAAGATTTATTGAGTATAATTACCGTTTTTTTTTTCAGATAAGAGCATCTTTCATCTCTAATTAAATAGCAATCAATGATTCCATTTTGCTAACGGGGTATTTTGATCAGAAAAGAGTGCTAGTAATTCGAAAACCTAAGGAGTGTTGATGTACTAATATCTCAATACTGTTTCCAATAGAAACCAGTTAGTTTCCAACTTGCAATGTAACTCATAATTTACAATTCATGTTATCAAATGAGTAATCCAACTTAGCCATGCAGATCATGTTGTATGAGTTATGAAAAAAGTCCAGTTACTGCTTTGAAAAAGAAGAAAGGAAGAAAAAAAAACACATTCTAATTGATTTTTCTAAAAATCTTCGACCCAGGATTTACGTAAGGTATATATGTGTGCGGAGAAAGGGTTTTTACCTTAATAAAGCAAGACGAGCATAGCTCTTGCTATCCACTGAGTAGAAAAAGGGCAATATCAACCTCCCTTTCTCTTCACAATAGATTTACTTCATTTTGTGGAATTATGCAAGTTACAAAGATGAACCGAAATCTCTTGGTTTTTAAAATCCACAAAACCAAAACCAAAACCAAAAAAAAAAAAAAAAAACCGGAAGTGATAAGTAACATACTTTTATCAATTTCATAACCTCTTTTTCTTTTCTTTTAAACTTCACTTTGATAGAACTGCTTGATCACAAGGCTTAACTCCGATATGGAGATAAACTAATAGGTGCGTACCAGTGTATAAGCAACTTTGATTTATTTATTTGGCTAAACTTTACAGATTTTGTAGAATAAGCTAAATTGTACCAAAAATTTACTAAAGGTCTACTAAAATTCAACTAAAAGTTTTTATTCGGGTAGTTGTATAGCAGATACGCAGTTACTAGGGAAATTGATAGCGATTTTTAGTTTCAAATATTTGGAGATTTGACAATTTGAGGGCGAATGGCAAAAGTCTATTTCTTAGGCTAATATTAGAAAAAGGAGTACAGAACTATTACTCTTGAGGGAACCTACTGGAGACAAACTTTGCTTGATTTTTTGTTTCTCTAGTTGTAGTATTTTCAAGTGAAATTGCTGCTATTTCAAATACAAACAAAATCTTGTAAAACTTTTGGGGCTAGAAGAGCTTTGCAAAATGTCCAAAAGCTCAATTACTTCCTGCTGTTGATTATTCTTGCCCTCCTACACCAGCAAATTGTCATTAACGTCTTTGTAGTCCATCACTGAAAATCGCTGACAGTGGAGAGAGATATGTTAAAACTCGCCTGCTTTCCACTGAGACTTTTTTTTTAATACCTGCCAAAATTTCCAATGATATAGCTTGAAAGTAACCAATTTCCATTCAGATCTTATAGTCAGTGCAGGCCTAGCACTTCTGGTTTATGTATAGAGCAGAAGTTTGAAAACCGCTGCATATTTTTCAATGGTAATTTTGGGGTGTACAATTAAGTCACGTCAAATTTATAGGCGCAAGTAATCTCTACTAATACCAGTATATTTCTTGTTTTGTTGCATCGCTTTAAATACAATATACTTGCCACCATTCTCACTAACAAAAGTCTAAAATGGTTTTGCTTGATTTGTTGAAATTAGATGCGGAAATCTGAAGTCAAAAAAGGTATTTATACGCGAGTAATGTATCTGCAAGACACAAAACCGGTTGCCTGGTAAGAAAGGTTTGGAAAGGAAAAAAGAAAGAAAGCACAAACACGGAAATAACTAAAAAAATAAAAATGAAACAAAACTAATGCAATATCTATACATAGAACAAGTTGGTTTAAAAGGCATTTATATCCCAAAATTACGTCTAGCCTAAATAAGGCGCATATGTTGCGCAGTGTTTGACTGTAAAAATCATGTTTGCAAGAACTTCTAGTTATATATTACTGAAATCAGAACCATTCATCAAACTGATTAATAGGCTTTTGGTTTGTTACAGGGGGGAAATAATATTCTACTTTAAGAGGTAGACGTGAGGGGTTGATGTAATGTGTGTGTCAAAATAACCGTTAAATGGCTACCATATGCACGAGATTGTAAGTTTTTTATTCTTTTGTCTTGTCTTTAATTGCCTGGAAATCAATTTGTTTCATGGTACATCTCTTGTAGTAGGAAAAAGTACATTTTGATACTGTGGTTAAGATATACCCATTAATATTTGGTCTGTTTATTGTAACTCAACTTACTGTAGTAGCTCACCTATTTACAAGGTCAAAAAAAAAAGAAAAAAAAAAAAAAGAGATCAGGTTAACGGTTACTTTTGTCTAATTGTTTGTGGTGGCCTACTTTTTCTTTTTCCAAAGGGCTCATGAATTTGCTTTCTTTAAGCTTTACTTGATAATCACCTGCCAATAATGGTTTCCTTTAACGCATATTAAGAAGTTAAGCGGGACAATCCCAGTTAATGAGAATTTTGCATAAGCATTATTAGACACACATGCTTGTGCATACAGATAGCAACGCCTACCATTAGAAGCAGAGATTCAATTTTCCATTTTATTATATTTTCTCTTTTGCTACTGTTTAACACCTTCTGCTTCATTTTAGCCAATTTTTGTAATTTGTACTATATTGTATCCCATAATGTGTGAACTTGTATGTTTCCAAGTCGCCATTTATATTGTATTGTTAAAAGGATTTCAAGTATAGAATAAAAAAAAAAAAAAAAGAAAATAAGAGAACAAAGCAATTTATTCATGTTGACGAACAAAACAGACATAAAAGAACTGTAGATGTGAGCCTAGGCAATTTTAGTGGAAAAAGGTATATACTTTCAATATTAGATCAAAGCTGATTAAAAAACGTGTTTTTATAACTATAATCAAAATGAGTTGCTTCTTGATGATACTTTCAAAATTAAAATACATCTCGAAAAATACTTCTAAATTGGAATAGAAGAAGAAGTAAAAAAAAAAAAATAAAAAAAAAAAATAAATAAAAAGTTAAATAGTAACTGAATTAAAAGGACCAAATCTTCAACCCCAAAAAATATTTTTTAGAGAAAAAAAATAATAAAAGAGAGTAAGAGAAAAGAAAAAGAAAACGATATATATAGGGAATTGAAATTGAAAACCGTTTTTTCAAGGCGGAATTGAAGTAGGTAAGGGTAAGAGCATTCTAGAGACTTTTTTTTGGGGGTTTTCAGAGTAAACAGACTCAATTGACTTGATCTACTCTCGAAAGTAAAAGAATTAAAAATTTGCAAAAGGGTACAAGTCTGGTATTAAAAAAATATAAAAAAATAAAAAGAATAAATAAAAAAAAAGAAAAGAAAAGTCCCTAAATTACAAGCCAGAAACTGTAACTTTGAAATTGGAAAACTGTGCTCTTTGATCATATACAAACCGTAGATCTCAAAAAAAAAAAATAACAACAGATGAAACCTCCCTCAACTCATCCAAAATAACCAAAAAGATCTGAATTGAGCGGAAAAAGTTTTATTAGTCTACTGCAAAAATAGAAAACATGTCAAAAAAGTTAAAGTTTTCTAATAAGAAAAGTAGAACAAGATCTGGATGTGTTACTTGCAGAGATAGACACATCAAATGTGACGAGCAACAACCGGTTTGTAACAATTGTATAAAGTCAAACCGTGTATGTCTTAGTGGTATCAGGTTGAACTTTAAACAGTACAGATTTTATGACCCAAATGAAAACAACTCATTACCACAAATCCGCCCTCAAACTTATAGAATAATAGATCAGTCTATAACTATTGCTTCATTATATGGAGAATCTGAAAAATACAAAAACTATTTCCATTTGCACCCACCGGAGGAGCTAATGGAATCGGATTTGGAATTACAAGGTGTTGTTTTTAGCAAATTTGATCCAACTTTCCCCCTTAGCCAAACCGGAACTCCTCTAGAGCTGCAACCTCTAGCAGGTGGTTCTTCTAATTCCAACAACAATAATATGTCGTTGTTGGAAACCTCTATCACCAACACAAACATGCTGTTTTTGTCACAATTGCCTCAGCAGATTCTACCTCACCAAGTTAATTCAACAAGCCACTTAAATATTCCGAAACCCCAGCAACTACCAAATGCACAAAAGTTCTCAACAAGACCGCTGCCGCTTTATGAATATCCCTATTTGTCAATGGAATTGGGGCAAATTCCTCAACAGTTGGCATCAATATCAGAGGATCCCCAACAATACATTGACATGATCAAGAAGGAGAATTTCTTTTGGTTACTTGATTTGGCAAATGATAAAGGCATTTGGAGAAGTATGATACCTAATAAATGCTTAAAGGAAAAAGACGATTTCCTATTTAGTTGTCTATTGGGATGCTCTGCCTATATCGAAACGAACTATGCACTGTTGACTAGCCAGCAATCACGAAAATGGATAGAAGCAGCATCTATCCCCGTTGATGTGCAAAGTATAACTCTTTTCGAAAAAATACTAATAAGTATCTGCTTGATACTTCAAAGCATATATATAAAGATTCCCAGAAATCTACTAAATGATTTTCACAAATCTATTTTAAACGCTCAGTCAGTGTTATTCGAAAACGTTTTACATAAAATAGCCCCTTTTTTGGTACATTTTAAACGCACATCGATCCTATTGATAACATGTATACAAGCAATTACAATGTTGAAATTCTTCATCAACAAGTTCTACGACCTAGCTTTCCATGTGCGACGAGAAAACTTTCATACAATCCTCAATTCCTCACAAAGTAATCAGCCAAAATATACTGACATTGACTTGACCAGTTTTAATAGCTTGAATATCTTTGAGATTGATTTTCTCAATAATTCGTATCGAGATATCGATTTGGTGGAATTGTCCTCCTCCTCCTTATCTTCCTCCTCCCTCTCCCCCACGGCGACTAGAGCTACAACTACCTCCTCCTCATCGTTATCGTTATCGTTATCATCATCGTTATCATCATCATCGTCACCAACATCATCCTCCTCAAAAAGTGAGTCTCAAAAATTCAAAGAACTACTTTGGTTTCTCATAAAAACTGATTACATCACAAACCATCCATCAAAAGTTCACAATTTCACCACCAACAATCCCTACATAGCTCAACCTCAACCCGTGTTGGATAATGAGATTTTCAATCTCAACAACGGTAAGGTTTTGGCAAGATATTTTCTACTATATTTCAACATCAAACTACTTAACATAAATAATAATGAGCTAATACTACTGACAAATTTGTGTATTTCAAACTTATTCAACTTCATAAACGAAAGCTTCTTAGAACAAGATATCAAAGCACAATGGAACAAACACTTTGAGTGGACCTTAAGGTATATAAAACCGTTTACAATGTAGCTACCATTAAATAATAAAGAATGCAAAAAAAAATAAAAAATAAAAAAATAAAAACAAACAAACAAAGTTGCAATGTTGCAAAATGTATAGTACGTCACGTGATATTCTCAACGGATTTGTGTTGAGAATTAATGCAATTTCCGAAATGTTCAGCTTCTGCGTGTATCCTGACCAAGTTTGTTTTTGAAACGTGATGAGGTAAAAAAAAAAAAAATTCTTTTTAACATTTGTTCAATACTTTGTCATCTCAATTGAACTTTTTCATTATGTCTCAAGGCACGTTATATGTCACTCAACAGATAAGGAGTGTTGCTCCAAAGGCATTGGTAAAGCATTTCAATTTAGATGTTGCATTCTCTGACAAAGATGCCACCTATGAAAAGTATTTCCCATTGAATAAAATCCCAGCATTTGTTGGACCAAAGGGATTAAAGTTGACTGAAGTCATTGCAATTTGTATCTATCGTATGTATCCTTTTTTTTTTTTTTCCTTTTCTTGTTTCTTATTTCCTACTAAGTGGTTTGGCACTGTTTTGTTGCAGAATGATGAGAAATTTTTTCTATTATTATACAGTTATCCCTGTCTTAATAAATCATGTCGAGAGTACCTAATCTGAATAGCTCAAATCAACCAACCAAACCAACCAAGCTATTGCCTTGTGTTTTGTTTTTTTTCCAATTTTTTTTTTCTTTTTAGGGCTTGTCCATATTAACAGCGGTTTTTTTTTTTAGTAATTAACTTGGCTGATGCAAATTCTCCATTGTTGGGTAAGAACGATGCTGAATATGCCCAAATCTTGAAATGGTTGTCATTCGCCAACACTGAATTATTGCCGAAAGAAGCATCGGTTTTCAAACCATTGAATGGTACTGTTCCATACAACAAGAAACAAGTTGACGAAGGTAATGCTGCTTTGGTCAAAATCAATGCTGTTTTTGAAGAAAGACTAACAAACTATACTTTCTTGGTTGGTGAACGTATCACCCTTGCTGATATCTTTGCCGCCACTACATACGTCAGAGGGTTTGATTTCCTTTATGGCGAGGAATGGAGAAAACAGCATCCAAGCATAACTAGATGGTTCAAGACCATTCTTGCCTCTTCTTATTTAAAAGAACTCTTGGATGGTTATGAATTCAGAGAAAAACCATTAGAATATGTTCCTCCAAAAAAGGAGAAGAAGAAGGACGCTGCTGCTCCAGCTGCAAAGAAAGAAGCTGCTCCAAAAGCCAAAGCTGCTGATGCAGCTGATGAAGCCGGCGACGAGCCAGCCCCATCAGCCCCAAAACCAAAACATCCATTAGAAGCTTTGGGTAAGCCCAAGAACCCATTGGATGAATGGAAGAGAGTATACTCCAATGAGGAAACCAGAGAAGTTGCCATCCCATGGTTCTGGAAAAACCAATACGACGCAGAAGATTGGTCATTATGGAAGGTTGACTACAAGTACAATGATGAATTGACATTGACTTTTATGTCAAATAACTTGATTGGTGGGTTCTTCAACAGATTATCTGCTTCAACCAAATACATGTTTGGTTGTTTAGTCGTTTATGGGGAGAACAACAATAACGGTATCACAGGTGCTTTCTTGGTCAGAGGTCAAGATTACGTTCCTGCATTCGACGTTGCTCCAGATTGGGAATCTTACGAATTTACCAAACTAGACGCATCAAAACCCGAAGATAAAGAATTCATTGAGAACATGTTTGCATGGGACAAACCAGTCGAAGTCAATGGTGAAAAGAGGGTAATTAGTGATGGTAAAGTGTTTAAGTAGGCTCCTTTATAATGTTAAAAAAGAATTTGGTATTTACTTTCTCTATATGTCAGGCATCGCTTGCCTCTACATTTAATGTCGTGCGAAGCAAAGCTCATTTCCACCGAGAAGGAATCAGAAAAAAAAAAAAGAGAGCTAAATTAAAATAAATCACCGTGTTCATCGGCTCAAAATAATACGTCAATCTTGTTTTTTGAAAAGAGGAGTGCCACATCTCAGGTATACCTACATATAAAAGGTTCTAGATCTGTGGAGTTGGTAAGTTGTCAAGTTTGTCTTTTTTGCTGCTTCCTTTTCATTGTAATCGAGGCTGAAAAAAAAAATTTCGAAAGGAAGGGTTTTGATAAAAAATGGTGTATTACAAAAATCCATACGTTAGCTATATACGGAGAAAGCCATTGGTCTTACTAGGGCCAGTGACTTTTCTAGTTTTGATATATTTATTTTTTTTTTCATCGACATCGGCTTCAGTTTTGACCCATTCCAGTGATCAGAGCAAATACAGTTACAATAAGAAATCGAAAGGTTGGTTTGGCAATAACAAGAAGGATTCTGTGATATTGAAAAATTTGCCAAAGAACCATATAAGCCACTACGATTTGAACCAATTGACAACTTCGTCAGATGCATTAGGAAAAAGAGAAGAAATCTTGATCTTGACGCCTATGTCAAGATTTGTACCACAATATTGGCAAAATTTGAATAAATTGACCTATGACCATTCTTTAATATCCTTGGGCTTTATATTTCCAAGAAATAACGATGGAGATGATGCTTTAAGGGATATGGAAAGCGCACTCAAAGAAACCAAGGCTCAAGGAAAACTAAACTTTAAGAAAATTACTTTATTGAGACAAGACACTGAATCGTTAGAAAGTCAATCAGAGAAAGAGAGACATGCTTTTGATGTGCAGAAAAAGAGAAGATCAATGATGGCGCTCGCTAGAAACTCGCTTGTTTTTACAACCATTTCACCAAAAACATCTTGGATACTCTGGCTAGATGCAGATATCGTTGAAACACCACAAAATATTATTCAAGATATGACTGCTCACAATAAACCTGTATTATCTGCCAACGTGTATCAAAGATTCTATGATGAGGAGTTGAAGAAGGACTCTATTAGACCATACGATTTTAATAACTGGGCTGAGAGCGAGGAGGGCTTGAAGATTGCTGAAGGCTTATCTGATGAAGAGATTATTGTTGAAGGATATGCTGAAATGGCTACTTATAGACCTTTGATGGCTCATCACTATGATGCCAAGGGAGATGTGAATGCGGAAATGGCACTAGATGGTGTTGGAGGAGGTGCTGTCCTAGTCAAGGCAGATGTGCACCGTGATGGTGCTATGTTTCCTTCTTTTCCATTTTACCATTTGATTGAAACTGAGGGTTTTGCCAAAATGGCAAAGAGACTAGGGTACGAAGTTTTTGGATTGCCTAATTATTTAGTTTACCATTATAATGAATAAGATTTACAGTTAAAAGACATTGTTTTGAACCTGGCCAAAAAAAAAAAAATGTTACAGTTCTGTTCTTATTTGAGGGTGACAAAAGAAGATTTATGTTAAAGAGCTTTTTACGTCTTCTATGATCAAAGGAGTACTCTTCTAATATTTGATACACTTTATATTTGTTGTCACTTCGTTATGTACACCAATGTGCAAAGTTTCGCTATAAAATCCTCTAAAG